GTACATCTATTTATATTTTTCATAAAGAGAAAATAATTCTTTACGTGATTAAAATATATTATATAGTAGCTAATAAATTTGCATTATTACATATTTATCAATTTAATTTACACACTAAAATACAAATAGATACAAAATGTACGAAGATGTGTCCTATATACCTTGATCTTCAGTATGATTAAAGAAAATAGTTTAGAATAATTTCATATAAGTAAACATTCTGTAAAAGTAAAATCGTATTTCGAATTAATATAAGTACAAAATAAAATTTCCTGTCAATTACATTGCTCTCTATCATTAATTTTAGAAAATATCTCCGTGAAAAACGGAAGAAAAACTGAGGATTGTTTTCAGTAACATTCGTGTAATTTCTTTCTGAATTGAAACCACGTGATTTCCACGAACACATTCAATTAAAACGATATCGACACAATTTTTTAGTCGACACAGTGAAGAATAATTCGCCAATGGAAAAGGTTGGAGCAGTTTTTATTTAAAAAATTATATGCTGAATATCCGTCACGTTACAGCTGTCACGTCGAGTTATTACGAATGCAATAATTGTGCCGCGGGGAGCAATCTGGAAATGCATTTATTCAGCCATTGTGTTAAATATGGATCTTTCAAGTAATTATCGCATTCTTCCCGTGCAATTCCCTTCGACGTGTAAACGATATTCCCGAAGGACACTCGAAGCTAATTAATTTTCATCAAGAATGGCATACCAGTTGCATGCTTTTCTATACGTATAACAGTTTAATGGTACATAAGGAATCCATTTTGTAGGAAGGCATCCTTTGCTTTGAAGATCAGACTCAGCTGCTTCGACAGTTATTAAGCAGTAATACTCTTTAATTATAAAATAATTTATTAATTTGTTTGTTAGGTGAATATAAATCGTTATTTGAAATTAATGTTTTACAAATAAGAATTCAATCTCTTGACACTTACATAATACAAAAATTGGTTCCAATTTTGATAATTTTTTCAAAATGGCGGTTTACAAATGGCAAATACAAATTTAGATTTGATCAAATATTGATAAAGATTTTTTATCCTTATCTACAGTTGGTAACAGTTCCTAGTAATTTCTCCATATATGACACGATGGAGACTTCAAACAATTTGTTACAATCTAATAGCCATCGTTACTTTAAATGTAACATATGTAGCAAAAATATATATTTAATAATTGTCTAATCAAAATCAGACCGATTCTGTTTACTAATCAAAACTGAACAGCTCAAATTTAGAAGCTACGTACGAAAGGAAACAAAATTTTCAATTCCCCTGAATTCACCCCTAATTCAGAAAACTGCCCCTCGCAATTCTTCGATCGAGAAGAATTCCTGTCGTTATGGAGTCCTTAAGAAACGAGGTCCCTTCGGGAATCGAGCATTCGTGGACGGAGATGAACGGGTAAACCGTCGCGAGGCGTGAAAACTTGCTAGATCCGCGCGGAACAATAGATCATTACGGGATTAAGTTTGTCGGAAGGGTTCGCAGGAGAGGCAGAAACGGATTCGCGTTACGGTACGGCGGAAGAGGACAAAGCTTCCAGGAGCCGGCGGAAGAAAGAAATGGAAGAGAGACAACAGATCTCCTGGAATTCTCTAATTTGCTATTTCGGCATTCCGAGCGATCCGTGTGCCTGGATCGTTCGTGGGACTTAGCTCGTGAGAGGCTGTTTGCTGATCTATCAAAAAACGCGATTCCGGCCGGCTCTTCTTCTGTGCCGAACCGCGATACGACAGAAGAGAGAACGAATCCACGGTCAGCGATGGGAACCGACCGGTTCGAATCTAAGATGAAAACCCTTCAAACGGAGAGAATTCCACGGTCGCGTCGAAAGGGGAATGTTTAGATCATTCGAAGATTATGTTTTTGACTAGGTTTCGTTCGCAGTGGGAGTTGCTACCGAGTAACTCCACCTTTTGAATTTAAAAAAATTTTTTTAGCCTCAAGAGTCCCAACCTGACATATTCATAATAAATTTGCCGTTTTTGAATTTTAAATTTTTTCAAATTTTAAATTCAAAGCACTTGATTAAATACTAACTTGATATATTTATAGTTTTTTCTAATTACAAAAACAAAGACTACTAAATTTCTAAATTTTTTTGGCCATCGAATGATAAACTATTCACAAAGTCAAATCGATTAACTTCGCCTTATGAATTTAAAAAAATTTTTTTAGTGTCAGAGTCCCAACTTGACATATTCATAATAAATTTTACGTTCACATTTATGAATTTTGAATTTTTTCAAAGTTTCAAAGCACTTAATTGAGTCCTAACTTGATATATTTATAATTTTCTCTAGTTATGAGAATGAAGATCACTAAATTTCCAAATTTTTTTGGCCATCGAATAATATCCTATTCACAAAGTCAAATCGATTAACTTCACTTTATGAATTTTGAATTTTTTCAAAGTTTCAAAGCACTTAATTGAGTCCTAACTTGATATATTTATAATTTTCTCTAGTTATGAGAATGAAGATCACTAAATTTCCAAATTTTTTTGGCCATCGAATAATAAACTATTCACAAAGTCAAATCGATTAACTTCACCTTTTGAATTTTAAAAAATTTTTTTAGTGTCAGAGTCCCAACTTGACATTCATAATAAATTTGCCGTTTTTGAATTTTGATTTTTTTCAAATTTTAGATTCAAAGCACTTGATTAAATACTAACTTGATATATTTATAGTTTTTTCTAATTACAAAAACAAAGACTACTAAATTTCCAAATTTTTTTGGCCATCGAATAATAAACTATTCACAAAGTCAAATCGATTAACTTCACCTTTTGAATTTTAAAAAATTTTTTTAGTGTCAGAGTCCCAACTTGACATTCATAATAAATTTGCCGTTTTTGAATATTGATTTTTTTCAAATTTTAGATTCAAAGCACTTGAGTAAATACTAACTTGATATATTTATAGTTTTTCCTAATTATAAGAATGTAGACTACTAAATTTCTAAATTTTTTTGGCCATCGAATGATAAAATATTCACAAAGTCAAATCGATTAACTTCGCCTTATGAATTTTAAAAAATTTTTTTAGTGTCAGAGTCCCAACTTGACATATTCATAATAAATTTTACGTTCACATTTATGAATTTTGAATTTTTTCAAAGTCTCAAAGCACTTAATTGAGTCCTAACTTGATATATTTATAATTTTCTCTAGTTATGAGAATGAAGATCACTAAATTTCCAAATTTTTTTGGCCATCGAATAATATCCTATTCACAAAGTCAAATCGATTAACTTCACTTTATGAATTTTAAAAAATTTTGTTAGTGTCAGAGTCCCAACTTGACATTCATAATAAATTTGCCGTTTTTGAATTTTGATTTTTTTCAAATTTTAGATTCAAAGCACTTGAGTAAATACTAACTTGATATATTTATAGTTTTTCCTAATTATAAGAATGTAGACCACTAAATTTCAAAATTTTGTTGGTCATCGAATAATAAAACGAGCCAAATCGATAAACTCCACTTTTTGAATTTATTGAAATTTTAGTGTCAAATCATAAGACTGAGTTCTAACTTCTTATATTCATAATAAATTTTAGTAATAATAAGGATGAACACCACTGAATGATCAAATTTTTGTGGCCCAACGTATAATAAAACAAACCATTCACAAAACAAATCGATTAACTTCATCTTTTGAATTTTTTAAAATTTGTTTAGTGTCAAAGTACTTGATTGAATCCTAATTTTTGATATTCATCATTTTTTCTAACAATAAGAATAAACAACACTAGATTACAAAATTTTATTGACCATCGAATAATAAAACGAGCCAAATCGATTAACTCCACTTTTTGAATTTTTTAAAATTTCAGTGTCGTCAAATCTTGAAACGATGAACTAAAATTTTGAAACAATGAGTACACCGTGTAGTTAAATAAAATGACATTCTAACGAACAATGTAACGATATATTGCTAATTTCAGAATGACTGTACAACTCTTCATTCGTTGTTCAAATATTTGACCATTTACCTGGAATTAATAAAATAGTTTTTTCATCTAAGTAGGTACTTACCAATATAGACAATCTACTGATTTGCTAATCAAGCAATGCAAATTTTCCTTGAATCTGAAAATAAAACATGATTCGACGTAAACGATGGTGCAATTAAACAAATCCTCCCTTGATTGAAATTTGATCTCTACCCTTTTTAAGTATTTCTATATTTACTAGTTATAACTTATATACTATTTACACGTTATTTTTATTCCTTCGATTATTAACTATTTCTTACTTTCATTAGAACTATTTTACCGGCGTATAAATTGTTACATTGTAAGTTAAAAAAATAGTGAGTGACATGTTAATAATAAACAACAATTATAACACATACTATTCCTCTGAGTAACAATCTGAGTCTCCATAAAAATATCAGGTCAATTTTTTGGAATTTTGTGTTAAATATTTTATAATTATTATTATTATATTTGAAATAAATAATTTCATTTCACAACCCAAGCCTGGTTTAATTTTTTTCCTAAACATTTGGCAGTCTAAATTTGCACGCAAAAAATTACTATTTTTAGCACTATTTCCAAAATTCATAAATGCCTTTCACTGTGTATTTTAAACGAATTCTGACAAATCTAGTTTTTAGATTTAACTAATTGGAGGATCATTTGACATTGACAAACTAATTCCAGCATTAATAATAATAAGGTTATACCTAAAAAAAACGAATTGAGTGTCCGAATATGATGCACTTTCTCTACTTGAAATTCAAATTTCTGTTTTAATAAATCCCATAATATTATGAAGGATAGATGAGAGAAAAGGGGAGCCACCGTGATGGGGAATTACAGAACTGATAAAGGGAATAACATTCGCTTTTATTTTATTCGAGCAACGACATTATTTTACGACGCAGCTAATAATATTTTAGATCATCAATAACAAGAATTACAAGCGTTTGCCTTTAAATCTGGAAAAAATACTTCTAATAGTGATCGTCAATATTACTCTTAGTTATTTTAAAAGCGTTTGCTCATACAAATTTTTTTTTTTTTGGTTTTTATTCTGCGCTGAAATATCTGGTACAAATCTTTTTGCTATTTTATTCGTTATTCCCAGCTGCCTCCTGCGAATCCTCGGAATTCGACGACAGTTCCGTTTCTTCGATCGTTTCGGGCTTCTCCGAGACCTTTTCTGTTTCAGGCTTTCCCTCGCGTTGTTTCTGATCGCTTTTCTTTTCATTCTTCCCAGATTTTGTCCTTTTCTCTTCGTCCCCGTCCTCGAGAAATTTGTCCCATTTTGCGATTCGAGCCTCGATTTCTGCGTCCGTTTCTGAAACTCTGAAGAAACAAACCGATTTCACGAATACTCCCTACGTTCTTCGATCTCCTTATTCGGCAAACGATCTTAACGATTTTAATATTAAGTATGCAACAGAATGATTATTTGAATTAAATTAAAATTAAGCAGAATCAAACATTAAAAATGAGTATTATTAACCTATTAAGTACCAATTACATACTTTGTTTTGTATAAAGGACATTAGGATTTATAATATAATAATATGGAATATATTATACATTTTACAGTGTTAAAGACAAGCAACAATACTGTTAATTTCTATTAACAAAATTGCATTGAAAAAATTAGGCGTCTGTCATTTTTTATAAAATGAGAAATATTTTAAATATCAACAGAATGCCATCTATTAATTTACAGTAAGTGAACTGATAATGAATGTTACTACTAAAATAAAAATAATAATTGCAATGGCCTAAATGATTTCGTAACAAGTGTATATTGAAAAAAATACTATTCGAGATTAGATAATTACGCTTTCAAATAATATTAAACGAATATAATTTTTATCGAAAATCCATAATATTGTTTATGTAATATTACTTTGTTAAGAAATAAAACCTATGAAGTCGATAATGTAAAACCCTGCTTATGGTATCAAAATCCTCAGAAAACTTTTGTAGTATAATTTAACGTTAAAATAATAAACATTTGCCATGCGACACTAAAAAATAATTACATCAAAATTATAAATGTATCGCTGTTGAAGTTGAAGACTATTTGGTAATAATAATAAATTCTAATAAATAAAATTTCTTTGCGCGATGCGTTGACAAATGAGATGTGAAACATTATAAATTATAATTAAACTAAATATAAATAGATCGCGTATTTCCTCGTTTCATAGTTTTTTATAACTTATCAACAATTGATAAAATCTAACATTTAATTATTGAACAGAAATTTAATCTTAAGAAATGTATGTTATATTAAAAGAAAATAGAAATTATTGAATTACCAAATGAATACCAATTTTTAATAAAATAACTATTTACTGAAATAAAGTGTTCACTCCTTAAAAAATATTATTAAGATAAGCGAGAGACTTTATTCTATGCTTTCAAATTGCTAATATAAACAGAAATCAATAATTATTTTACATCAAGATTATGAAACTGATAACAGAATAGAATAGTGAATGAAGCTATTGCAGTTCATAAATAGGATATTTATTGCACGAATCGATAAAATAATAAGCTTAAATAAAAAGAAAACATACGTACTATGTAACGCAAAGCAATAAATATGGAATAATTATCAAATGTTTTTAATATTGAGCAAAAGTTTGGAAAGTTACTAGTAGTAACTAGGAATCATCGATGAAAAACAAATAGGGACTATTGGAAGCCCGAAGTTTGTTAGTTCTAAAAACTGCCGTTCTTTCCCCCCTATAATTAATGTCGGTAATTCAGATTCACGAGTTCTAGTGACTTTTAGAGACACAGAGTCCAAAGTGTAGCATCGAAGGGTTATTTATCGACACATTCGAGGCTGGGTCGGTAAACTTGCCGATACAGAAGAAAGCAAAGGGTAAGCCTACTTGTATTTCGTTTTCCCGTCCCAGATTTCAGCCGATATTTTCCTCTGACTGAACCAACGACCGTTGAGTAACTGCACACAAGCCTGAGCTTCTACAGATTCTCGGAATGTCACTTGCGCAACGCCTTCTGGATGTCTCTGCAAGCATGTAAAGTAATCGCATTACAGCAGAGGTACACGAGTACTTTTTCGGCCCATTTTTCTGGAGCACTCGCAACATTACCAAGTTACAGAAATTACAGAAATTTTATTGTTTTTTAACGAAATGAAAGCTGTATGGTCCAGAATTGGGCATAAATCCATTAATTTCATTGGAAATATTAAAATTCTCCGATCCGTTCACGAGTTATGATCTTTTAAACATACGCATGAAATTTCATTTATGGTCAGACATTATACTTTCGGTAAAGAATTTTTTTCTCAAAAGTGCGCAGGATTTCGGGGGTACATCTATTTACCAAAAATGATTGTAATTGATTCCTGCAACCGAAAATATTTTTTTTAGAATGATTTGAAATTTTTTAATTTCGACGAAAAATTTGTCCACTTACTGAATTTTTTTCTCGAAAGTGGATAAGATTTCGGGGGTATGTCTATTCGTCAAAAAATGATTGTAATTGACCCCCGCAATCGAAAATAATTTTTTCAGAACGATTTGAAGTTTTTTTTTTCGTCGAAAAATTTAGGCACCCCTATTGATTTTTCTTAAAAATTCGTTTTTTTGACGCTGTACGGAAATGTTGTCTACCACTTTTTTGTAGGTATCCACGAGCTCTACGAAATACCCTCACTAGTATAGGAGTTATAGTCGTTTGCAAACGACCATTTTTATGAGGTTTTTCATACTTTACGGGGTTGAGGAACAACTTTTTCAACATTCCTACAATTCCTAAATATTCTTCACCAAAATGTGCTTTGGAGATTTTATTGCGAATATTTCTAAAAATTACTGATCATTTTTTACCGAAACAATTATTCATTGCAAACTAAAAGCTAATAAAGTAGAGAACTTAAATCTCGATTCTAATTTTGAACGAACAAGGCTACTGCTAATTAAAAAAACCATTTCACCAACGATTGCATTTATCTTATTTTAATTCTCACATTTCCGTTCTACTATTTCATTTGGAACAATCGTTCATTTAATGAATAACAATTTTTCTTTTTCATTTCGATCCTGAAATGAAACTGTTAAAATGCATACGTTAATTAAACAATGGCTGCTGTGATCACACCATGACAAACGCTCGTCGTTATTTCATTTCCATTACGAACGCTTTGTTGCACGACGGACCCAGACTCCTCCCGTTTTACGACTTAAAGCTGTTTACGTCGCCCACAGTTCCCCATAATACTTTTCACGTCTCGACTTAAACCACAATTTATGAGCCCTCGGTTTGAACATCAATTTTACTGCCTGGCCTGCTACACGACACGATACTCTTTGTTCTTTTGTCGCGTTGTGTCTCGTTGGATCAATCGCCCCATTTTCGTCACAGGGTTGTTCGTTCGATTGCACACGATATACGAATACACTTTAATTTTATATTCATTCGATTATCAAATAATTTTGTTTGCGAATACAACACAAACTTCCAATTTGGGTAAAATTATTTTTAAATTAGATTCTTTTGATATTTGAAAAGTACAAATTTAGATTATTTGAAATTGGAGAATTTGGATCTTGAAATTAAAATATTATTCATAAATTAATTTACAATGATATATTTTATTTGCTTGAGTAATAAAATATATTCTTTTAAAGTACCTCAAGTTTTATTAATTAACCAAAACATAATTTTTCTCAGGCACGTTGACTATAAAGTACCCTTTCACGTCGATGGTGTCCCTTTGTATACGACTTTCAATTCCCAGATCGTGTGAATTGTACAAATTCGATCAGGAAAATTACATCGCCTTAAAAGCAACATTCAGACTCTAAGTTAGTACCAGTTCATTTCTAAAAATCGACGTTCGACCGTTGTATCTTATTTGATCACTGTATCGTTACTATCGTCTGAGAAACGAAAGAATCGACTTGGGAGACCTACCAATTGCCCTCGTGAGGTAACTGTTCCACCTTTTACTGCCTCCACCGGCGGTTCGACTGCTCAGAGTTCGACAGCATTCAATAAAACTAGCAATGGGAACGAGCGTCTCGCAACAAATTTTTGTTCTTATATTATTCTGTTCAATTATTGCCTCGAATTAATTTATATATTTCCATACGTACTCAACTCGATTTCAATACAAAATAAAAGTGTACAAGTAGTCTTTGTGCAAATACTAATGGATAGATAGTAGCGATGGAATCGAGCACCTCACGAGTCATTCAAATTCCTTTACAAATTCATTCAGAATTAAATATTTTCAACCACGATACTTAATTGAAAATAAATTTAGTAATCTTTTCACGAATATAGAGCCATTAAATAATAATTCAGCTATATTTTTCGATTTTCTCGAAAACAATCTTTCGCAAAACAGAACTTTTATTACAAGAATTCTGAAACATCTGTTCCATAAAAGCAATTTTTTACAAGTAACACGAGATCTAAATTTCAAAGAAAAAAAAAATATAACAGTATTGGAAAGAATAAGAGCTGACTGATTGAAACTGCAGGAATATTTTTGGGACTGACTGTATGCCAAAACTCTGAATCACGATATGCATTCTATCCTTCGTTGGATCGAAACGGTGGAACTAGGGAGAGCGAAACAAGAGGAGCCGCCAGAAATAAAAACAGCAAAGAAATTATAGCTCAGTGATATTCCTCGAATTACCATGAACCGGCAGCTCGAGCCGTAAAACGTTCCGTCCGTTCGTAAATTCAGCCACGGAACATCGACCCGGTCTTTTGATCATCTTTGCATCGTTGGGCTCTTTTTACCGAGTACAAGCGGCCCCGAAAAACGTTCGGGAAAGCGTGGGACGGTAAATTGGCTGTTAGGAAATTTCCTGTCGCACGCGCCGCTTTTGATCTCGGCGCCATTTTTCGCGCGCAGCGACCGCCCCGCCCGGCGGATCGTAGACGATGGAATTCACTTTGACATTGAATGGATTCACGGTCGGGACTCACCGACTGGGAGTGTCTCGCGGCGAATTTATGGGGTTAGGTCATCCCCTTTCGAAAGTTTATTTGCGTCGGTCCCAAAGGACCCAGCAATTTCTTTGTGGACGCCATTTTGACGAATCTCAATCCCGTTCAACCACCGTGTCCCGGAACCAGAACAAAAATGTAATTCGACTGCTTCTACAGAGTAATTGAACTGTAATTGCTTGGTAAATACAAGGTAATTATTATGGCAATTGATATGGAATTATAATGGTGAATCATTAAACCGTGTAATTGTCGTATAATTCAAACGAAACGAGAGTGTAATTTGGGTGCAATTACTTTTGTAGAAGTAATGGTGGTAAATGTGATTAAATTATGTTTTGCTCAATGGTGGTTTGAATTAGTAATAAACACAATGTAATATAATTAACGATTGCTACTCCACAAGTCACAACTTTGTTAATAAACGTTTACATTAATTTATTTTCCCATTTGCTAATTTGTAATCTTTTTATTTAGAATTAAATTGTATTTATCTTTGCGAAATAAAATTACTTTGCGTTGAACAGAATTATCGAAATTTCAGACAGAACCATAGAAACTAATTAATGCAACAATAATACAAGACTCGAAATATTTAACGAAGAAATCGTGCGAATCATGCACAGGGAGACGAACAATAGAAGTGACCTAACAGGCAAGAAATGTGTTTTGTAAAGCTATGCATCATCACTAATGGCAATAAAAAAAGCAATAAATGTTAAAAACCTTGAAAAAGAAACAAACTAGGATTATAAATGTAGCACTGTTTCGCTTTGAAATACCGTGTAATAAAAAAAGCCAAACGAATCTGCAAAAGACAAACTATTAAACATGATTATATTTCACATCAATTATAATTCGTCTCTTTTAACCCGCCTTTTCTTGCGTTTAGTTTGCCTTAACTGAACGTAAGAAAAATTAATTCTGATTTTTCAGAATACGTTTGGTAATTAATGTTTTGCTACGCGAGAGGAAATAAATGTACCTGGCGATTTAATATCATCAATCTTTGCCGTGATAACTAATTTTCACCAGACTGATAATCAATGTTCGTTAAGTGCACATCGCCATTAGCCCACCGCGAGTATCGATAAATAATAAAATAAATGTTTAACTTGTTCTTTCAAGGATACGTACGTACGTTGAAGGGCATTGAAACACACTGGTACCTTGTTACGTTAAACGCTACTAATAACTTACAGTCACGATTTCTACAACGATTAATGAAGACAAAAATTACTCTACAAAAAATTTCATTTATCCCGGAAGAATCGTATACGTATACCTACGATTTCCACCCTTTTCATATTAAATCACGGTGAGTAATTTTCTCTAGGTCGGTGCTCAATTTTTTTACTCGTGACATTTTTCATTAAACGAATTTATTAAAGACTGTTATATCAAATTTATAGATACAGCCTCCATTGTTCGAAACAATTTTCTAACATTCATCATTTTATATTTCAGATAAAAGAAGAAAAACACCAATAACAGAAATCGTAAGATAATGTAAACAAATTATTTTTTTCTAATCTTTCATGTCTTTTTGATGTCTTTAATAGAATACATTGCAAAATTAGCAGTATCATTTGAATACCCACTTAAGACACTAATTGTATTAATTTTAATATTTTTAATTTTTAGTGTGTTTTAAATCGCGTGTTTAGGACATTTTTTACAATCACAATTTAAACAAGACACCCTGTATATTAAAGGGCCTCAATGCAAAGATCACCGATGGGTCAACAGTGATATACGAGGCACAGAATGTGATAATAATCGACCTAGATGGCAACTTTAGTGGGCGCCACTTTTATAACGTCTGCGTTTGTAATACAGAATATAACTATAGTATTTCAATTCTACATCTGGTCTTTTATACTAATTCTGTTTTAGCGTTCAATTTAACACGTTCACTGCCAGATCAAAACCGTATAATATTCTGCACAAGTAAAATTTTGATTTTAGACCATTGTAAGCTACATAACCTAAAATTTGTTTCGGTACTTATTTTCGTAACCTTGTTAAAATTCACAAACCCTATTCAAATTTATTTCCCTCGACGTCTTAACTTGAGAATTAATTTTTCTAGTATCATAATGGTAAATCCTGTCACCCATATATGGGTGACGTGGCAGTCAAAGTGTTAACAAACAAATCCCTAGAAATGGTATTCCTTTAACATTTGTTCCTAACAAAAATAATAGTTTCACTATCCATTAACACTGTCATTATTATTGTTATAATTTAAAGACACACGAGAAATAAAATCTTTGGATAATACTAAAGACTAAATTATTGTAGTTTGCCATTAATTTACTAACAATAACAGGCTTAAATAGGAGAATAAAATTTGCATTTATTTATAGAAAGATAATATTTAAATTGTGAAGCTTTTATGATATTCATAATTAAATTCGACGTGCAATACATAGAGATCAGATAAGAGAGGTAGATTCAAAATATGGAAACACAAAAGCGTTATATAATATCTTTAGTCTGCGAATTACAGACGTGATTATGCACTCAAGAAATTTAACCAATTTGGAAGCAACATTATATTATAATTGATATGCTCGGTAATTGTTGGTTTCGATGTGAAAATAACTCCAAGGTTTTAAGTGATAATAATAGCTGCAAGTGTGGTGATTTCTGAGCTATAGGGTGTAATTATTGGAGAATGTTTACGTTTGTAGTTCACTGTAAAGCATATGGATTTATTGGGTACAGTGTCATTCTTACCACCTCTCGTATTTCATGCTTTTTATATTCAGCATCAAAAAGAATATTAAGAAAATATCAAGAAAAAAAATTGTAAATTGCTTGCAACATCAATTTCGAATGTTTAAAAGTATTAAAAAATATTCAGATAACCGTTCTACTGTATATGTAAAATTAGATTTTTAAGACAAACTTTTGTAACCTAATTCGAAGGCATATATAATTTATTATTGATATTCGCAGATTTATAACCTTCATGAACATATAAAAAATAATCGTATTACAATAATTAACTGTAAGTAGTGTAATTTTATAGTTACTTATATAGCATATGGATGCACACAGTATATTGTACTATCGAGAGACGAGATGTTGGTACCCACAAGCTAAACAACGCATGGAACAAACGGAATCATGCGCACGCATCACTCAATCTCGTCTACTTTTCAGGTTCTTGGTTCTTGATTGGTGCTCGACTTGCCCAATAACAATCGAGAACCTAAGAAGTGATTACGTGATCGTGCCATCATCTTATCTTACAACAGTACACAGTGTGATACATTCAGTCAACTATGAGAAATATGAGCTAATCTAGAGTCTAATAAGCATTAACGAAGGACAATTTAGATCCACAGAGCTATAAGTTGATGTAAAACACAAGTATATTTTTAATATGCCTGGGTGGAACATCAAATTTAATTAGTTTCAATAAGGAAAGCAACATAACATTTAAATTAATAAATTTAAAGAAGAATGGAAAGTCTGGCATAATTTAAAAATTGTTTATCCTGTAACTGCAAAAGAGATTCTTCCTGTAGATATGTGTGCTCTATATGTACGTATTCATATGCATGCAGCTTTCGTAACCATGTCAAAACTCGTCAACGATGCAATAATCTATGCGAAACGGAGCACGCGGAATAGAGATAACGAGTGACCCTAATGCGCTCTGCTCGTTACGTTCAACCGAATATACTGCATTAGGACGATTAATAGACTTTGAGTACGATTACAACTTTTTATTACTCGTAGTATAAAAGAAAAGTTTGTCCCCCTTAGTCTGCATAATTAAAGTCACACACACCAAAGTGTTAATCTAGATTACGTAATTAAAGCAAACAAATCGTGCAAATGCGTGTTTTGAATAATAACGTTTCTGATCAGCTTAGGTTTCCGCATTAATTTGTAATATTTACGGTACAAAGTTAATTCCAATGAAAAGAAGAATTTTTGTTTAAAAAACTGATATTTTAATTTTTCTTTTCATGTTCCATGCTATGTATTTTCTGTTTCTAAATGCAATATGTAAAAATGATTATTTCTGTAATTTCTTATAGTTGGAGACACAATATTATTTTATAATTATTTAATTGTATTGTGCATTGAAATTATTAAATGCATTAAAATTGCATTCTTAATATTACACAAACTGTATTTACTTATATGCACTTCAGAAATGTGTTATGTTTAATTATATTTTGAACACAAATTAATATGTTTTTATACTATAAGAGAAAATCTCTTTAATTAATTGCATAAGTAAGTTTTTTTTGTTTTTTGGTCAATTTTATGAAAAATTGTAATAAAACCAGTTTCGATTGCGTAAAATGAAATATAATACGTGGTACTTACGTCGTAAATAATAACTTTTCGGACATCACCGCATTTTAGACATTCGGACCTGATATCCTGCTGATATTCCAGTAATAACGCGACCTCTTTATCGAAGTCCTCCGGCGAGAAAAGATTTTTTATAATTACCACTCTTTCGTGCTTCTGCGGCTCGCCCAACGGGCGCTCAGGTCTCCAATCAAATAATCTGTAACAAAAAATTGACGTCACGAATAACCTAATCCACAGTAGAAATTCATTCTTGTATGAACATCAAATTTTTTTAAAAAATAAATTTTCATAAAAAAAGAAATTAATGTGAAATGAATAAATTTGCTATTGTTATGTTCAGCTATATCAAATATTATTAAATTATTTAAACGATATAACTCAAAATAATACACATTTCGAATTGACAACACAGTACAAACGAACAAATTAAAATAAATATTATTATTAAGGTATTATTATATCGTGTGAAATAAATTCCAAGGTGACTCAAACCTGCTACTATTCTTCATACTTATTGCTAGGCCTTAAAAAACAATGTAGACAAATCTCCAAGTTGAAAAATATGAAACTATTTAAATTCAGTAAAAATTATTAAAAGTTTTTAATTTTTAAAATTATTAAAAATTTTTAATTTCGTTCGGCAAAATGGTCTAATGTAACATTTGCTTGGCATTTACATCAAATTACTAGATTACTTTATAATACTATGAGCACTAAAACAAAGGCGTACAGCGTTCCAAGAAATAACACGACTCAAAATTTAATTTGCATTTAAAGTAGAGATACGAATTTTCAAAGAGACAATAACCACACATAGCTTTGTCTTAAATATGAAGCAGCTTGTACGTGTACGCTTTCGTAAAATAGAGGAACAAGAGATTATACTGAAGCACAGTTATTTTGGAAATACTCATTAACCATTTTCTCCAAATATTAAGTAAAAATAAATTTAGTAACAATTTCTATTCTATTGAATTGTGTTTTTTGTGTACTTTTATTAAATCGTAATATTTACATTCCAAAAATTTTTATTTTTGACTTTTCCAGTACTGAATTTTAAATATAATATAATTAAAAATTCCAAGTTGTGAATAGATAAATTCTAAATGCGATGAAACACTAAATTTTCTGAAAAATCAAAATTTTTAGTTTTTTTTACCGTAGCTATTATGCTAGTTGCGAGTGTTTTAAGTATAAATCGTAAACACTTAAGACGATGACAGATCAATCAATTTTTCAATTTGTCTGACGAACATGAATCGTGCTTTATCGCTTCGTAACTATACAGTTTGGTTTACCAGACAGATTAATGAACCGTAACACTTTGCGGTATCGCGTGTGGTAGAATCCCGACAAGTTCCCGACATTATGGCAAGTCTTAACACATTTGTCAGACATGACACTCCAACTGGAGCATACAACCTTTTTGCAACTGCGAAAAATAGAGCTCCTGCCACGTTTCCACGAGCAATTCAAGAACTTTAAATCCATCTCTATGCTGGTTCGCATCATTTTTCATATTTTAATAGCTACAATTAAAATTTACATGTTCGTTAGTCTTTACAAGGTTTGTTAAAATTTTCTCGACCATATTGCTTCGACTCTATTCGATAATTTATAATAACAATCTATAAAATAATTGTATGAGATTGTAAGAGGAATGCAAACAAAGTATCACATATGTTTTTATTTTTGATAATTAATAGAAATATATAATTATTTAATTATTACTATTTACACTAAATTACCAATCATTTTTTATGGATTTATCAAATTAATGATTGATTTATAATAATACAACCCCAATTAATATATATTTGATTTATTACAACTAAACTTTCAATTTATCAAATTTTTTCTTTTTTCAGATAAAAATTGTCAATATAACAATGGCAGTCATAAAATAATTTAAACTGTGTTAGTGTTTGAAAAATACCTAAGACTGCAGTGATATTAGTATCATAAATATGAAAAAAATAGAAAATAGAAAATAGATATAGGGTAACTCACAAAAATATAACGAAAATATTATTACGAAATATAAAAGAAAAGTTTACAACTCTGCTTAATAAAGATCAAGAATAACTAAATGGTGTTTATCTTATGTGTATGTTAACACGAGCTATGTTTTTTGTTTTGAACCTATTCGACGTGATCTCAAATCACATACTATATTAGTAACATACTTTAAGTTGCAATTTGGGTTGTGTTGTAACAGTTTATAATCTCTAAATGCTAGAAATAGTTTGAAATGAGAACTAATACGCAGTTATACAGGGTGTTCGACCACCCCTGGGAAAAATTTTAATAGGAGATTCTAGAGGCAAAAATAAAACGAAAATCAAGAATAATAATTTGTTGATGGAGGCTTCGTTAAAAAGTTATTATCGTTTAAAGTTACGCCCGTACTGAATTTTTTTCTTGAAAGTGGGTAGGATTTCGAGGGTATGTCTAATGAAAAAAGATGATTGTAATTTACCCCTGCAACCGAAAATAATTTTTCCAGAACAATTTGAAATTTTTTAATTTTGTCGAATTCACACATTTTCGAATTTTTTTCTCGAAAGTAGGTAGGAATTCGAAGGTATGTCTAATGATAAAAAATGATTGTAATTGACTCCCACAACCGAAAATAATTTTTCCAGAATGATTTGAAATTTTTTAATTTCATTTTTTAATAACTTTTTAACGAAGCCTCAGTCAACAAAATGATATTCTTGATTTTCGTCTTATTTTAGCCTCTAGAATCTCCCATTAAAATTTTTCCCAGGCTTGGCCGAACATCCTCTATAATAATGCATTTAGTTTGCGATTACGTCAGGAAATGCTCAATGGAAACTATCGACAAAACGTTTCACAATAGGACATTCATTCGCAATAAGATCGTTATCGTAGTTTCCACATTTCATATTTTAATAGGGTATTTATGGGCCAAATTATAAAACCCATGGAATGTATATGGAAAAAAATATTAATCCCAATATCAATCTGAATTATAATTCCTATTCCCTGAACGGAATAAACAGGGATTAAGAATATAAATGGAAAAAGAAGAGATATCACGCTACAACCAGATTATTTGGATTATCATTACCATATTATTAAAACTATCACCTACATTATTTAAATACGATCAAGTCTTTAGTAAAGATGAATTTTAATTATTACAAATTAATATTCACAATTGACTCACGACTCTTAAAGAAAGTTTCGTCGCGTCCAAATTGACCCACCATCCACTATGCGATAGTTGAACACTTCTAAAACATTACTCTCGTATTTAAAAAAAAATACAAACGTTTAAAAGACAATAATTTGGTACCGGAACGGGTTAAATTCTAAATTAAAAATAAAACTGAATATCCAAAACATAAATCAGTTGTATAGTACCGTCTTCGGATCTGTAACGCAGAGATAACCGAAGTTTAACATCGTCGCGGGATCGATAAATCAAGGATAGGCGTGTAATTGAAAATTACAATTCAACGCGTATTATCTATGCGCGAAGTTTAGCCGCGCCAACGCGGACAATCAATTAGGGATTTAACACCCGCGGTCGATTAACCTAATCGTAGATTGATCAGATAATATTAATTAAGACAGCGGTGGTATCGTTGCCGATTAGAACGCCTCTCGTGTCGAGACGCCATTAATATTCAGTGATTTCTACCATAATTAACCGGGTGTGAAATCGACAATGATATCGATGGCAAAACAGCGGGTCGCGATGCTGCACTCAATAAAGTTCGAGGGATGTTAGATCCGAAAGATAAATCGATAAACTGTCACCGGTACCGAAGGTTTATCGAGCATGTTCGTGCAGCCGGGTTATTAAATACGATAATTTTCCATCGTATAAGATTATACTGATAAATGGACACGCACGAAACGCCGCGCAATGTGTACCGCATACGCGCAGTAAATCTTTGTCGTTGGAAGGACACTCGTTGGATAGATTTACGAGTGTCGTGCCTGACGAGTTACCATATGTGGCAGCCATTTTCCTATCTCCTTTTTTCTTTTATCGAGGGAATTTATTCGCCGTAAACCGTGCGTATTTATATTAACTGTTGAAATTAAAATTAACCGGATACCTGTTCCCGAGAGCAAACCCGACGCTCCGCGATTGAATCTGTGTCAAGCCGATTTTTATTCCATAAACGATGCAAATTACGAATTCTTCGGGGGGCGAGTAATTATCTATGAAATGGAAAATTTTATATTATTTGCTTACATCAAGCAAACACGTTTTACTTTTAAATTTATTGTATTAAGAAATATATGATCAAGTTAGACTTATTTTACAAGTATAATTGCATAGTACATTGTAGACTGCAATTAAGAACAATTTTTAATAGGAGCGATTTTGTACTTGAAAGAACAAGAAAGTTTCGTCCAGACGCTGGGGCAATGAATACTCAGTCGTGGATTGTATATGTACAAATAGATGGTTGTTCGAGCACTTGTGAGAAAGACAAAGAGTGTAGCCCCCTGGTGGCGAATACGGAAACTGTCGCCAAAAATCCTTATGGCCAGAACTTAGCGAAGAATTAAATTAATTCCGAGGGTACAACCTCGGTACAACCAAACATTCGAAAGAAATATGTATTATTTAAAATGTAAATAAGCGTATTTCAGTTTCGATGTTGCATTAAGGTCCATTTCAGTATGACAAATGTATTTTCTATTTGAAATATACGAGTAGCAATTTTGTACAAGAAGAAATAATGTTTACAGTTGATGAACAATTAATATTAATTAAAATAGAAGGTCAATTATAAAAATGAAATCGTTGAAAAATATATTGTAAATTGTGAACATTTCTATACATTTTTCCAGCATTGGGGAATAATTAGGTCGCGTAATAATTAATTATGCAACTATTCGTTTCCTTTTTTTTGTTTCAGTGTCGAATGACAGAACTTGATTGCCTGTCCCTTTCTTTAGCTAAACCAGGTGCTATTTTCACAAGTGAATACTATTTGATTGATGACTCGCATGGCGCGGACTAGAAATAAAGCATTGATCATCAATGCTATTCCATCGAGTGCGTTAATCAAACTCGACGTAGATTCATACTGTCACTTTTAAAACTTTTTTAGTTACATTCGTTTACATTCTTTTGCGGCTGTTTTTAAACATTATTACCGCTGTATAGAACGTACACATTCTCCAAATCAATATCGTTCCGTGCGT